ATGATTTTGTACACCACTACAAATGGCTGTCCCCCAGGGGCGGTTCTAGAGGCGGGGCCACAGGGGCCTGGGCCCCTGCTGAAATCTGATTGGCCCCCCTTCCATCAATCGTCGACGAGAAGAGCAACCGGAGAATTTTTCCACGACGATCACAGATGCAATTCCACCCCCAAACAATTGGCGGCACTGCGGTAGTAATGTGGCAATGTAATTTGGGAGAAGAAGCAGTGCTTGAAACTAATGCGCAAAATCGGAACTTTTGACTACCAGAACATCGTCGGTGATGTTGCCTGTACACAGGAGACATAATCCATCAAACAGTAATCCAACTTAGAGACAACTTTTGGTGAGTCACAAATCGTTGTGTTGGTTGTCATTAAAATATGAAAGTATATTTTAGCTGCTGCTCTTACTTATTTTAGGTTTGTTAACTTAATTGTGGAAGACTTGTTAAAGTTGTTAGCAATGTTAACATGTTAAGATAGCGTTAGCAAAGGTTATAGAGTTTTTAGAGAGTTTATGCATTCACTAACAGCCTTGTATGTAATTATACCTTTGTGATAATGTTAACTATCTTGTTTGGCAGATATAGTGAGCATGAAAAAAGGGACAGACACAGGGAGCTATTCAGAGTTTTTTTTTTTTTTTTTTTTTTACAAGATTAACCCATGATACTCATAGATATATATGATGATACTACTAAAAGTGATGGTTTAAGCAAGGGGACGTCAGAGGACAGAATCAACCAGCAGGCAGCTGAAGACCAGGGTAGCCCAAACCCCTCTTCACCAGATCAGATAAAACATGATGTAGGCAAAGCCAGATGATAGAAACACAATGTTATGTATTAAATGGTATTCAATGAAACTGCAACGAGAAGAAGTGTACTGCTTGCTGAGGGTCTGACATAATGATGCCAAAATGGATGTTTCTGCTAGCAGCTAGAACCAGAAATGTTAGCAATAATATAACTGCTCATATTAACATAATTTTCAGAAGACTCAGTGGTTATGTTTAATTGTTTTTCATTTGCTTCTTGTAGACATTCCCTGGTGCCTAGCAGAAAAGTTGTGCTGCTCCACCTGGACCTGATGGTATGCCTATATTTTCATCCTGTTGAAGTTGTCAATGGACATTTAACAAATTATGCATTAATTAACAATAATTTACTGTTTATAAGCGACAACATGATTATGAAACTTAAAATGTCGAATTCAGAAAGAAGTTATAAAAAAAAATCTATTTTTTTTGCTTCTCTCCAGACATTTCCCAGTCCAGAGCAGATGGTCCAGTGCAACCTGTCCTCAAGGTTTACCCCAAGACACAGCACGGGAACAGGAAGAGAGCATTCATTGAGACCTGGCAAAAGACTTTACGTGGCTGCAGTATTCTGTGTTTGGAGCAGTCTTATATCCATAAATAAATAAAAAAAATCATTAAGAACTTTACTGGCACATTTTTTTGAAAAATTAATAACTGCCGAACTGTATTTGCACCGTACTGAATAAATTATTTTGTGTGCATGGATGTGCCCTGTACTTGGCCCCTGATTGTAACATCTGGCCCCTTAATGGCCCCTGTTACAGAAAAATCCTAGAACCGCCACTGCTGTCCCCTCATATAATGCCCTATGGGCTATATGCACGCATAAATTCTGCATTTGACGCAAGGATGCTCGTCCATTTCCGGTTGTGTAGATTAAAGCGGAGGAAAACCGAGGAAAACGGGATTAACGGGATATATTATCTTCAAAATGTACTATCCTCCCGTCTTTGAAACGAAACGTACATACGTTTAGATGTAATTTTATATATAGTTATGTTTATTTAATATAATTTTAAAAAGAAGCATAAACACAACAAGGGGTGTCTGTTTTATCTGTTTTTGTGACTAACGTTTCTTTAGTATAACCATGGAGTATAAAATTCGATATAAATTCTCGGTATTGCATTGGACTCTACGATCGGCGGAAGTTATCGAGCATCCTTACACCTTCACCGGAAATACCGCCGTGCATAGAGCCCATTTAAGGGTATAGGGGGTGATTTCGGACTCAGCCCATGATTAACTGTTTTATGATTGTTTAATTGTGGTTGGAAGTTGGAACTAAACTGTGCAGGACACTGGTTCCTTCAGGAGCAGGATTGGACAGTGTTTTAGGGTTTTAAGGATTGGAAGGGTTTTATCTTATGTTATAAAATGTTGTATATTTCATTATTTTAGTTTCAATTGTGTTAGTCATTGTGGGTTTTTTTCTGTGTATGACGCTGTGCAACTTCTATTTTTCTAGTATTCACCTCAGTTTGTGGATTTGTGATGAACTTGGTTCATCGTGTGGCTTTCTCTTCACCACATTTGTATTTAAGATGATTGTCAGTCTATTAAGTTAAACAGAATCCAGTTATTTAATATATTTACATTATGGTTTTAGGTATAATTTTATTAAATGTATGTTTGTTTGTTTTTTTTTTTTGTTTTTTTACTAATAAATAATTTTAAAGTCCCTGTAAAGGCAATTCTACAAAAAAGTTCTAAACGCATTATAAATGTTACATATGTATTGCTAAAACATATTACAAAGACTGTGAACTGTGAAGTACTGAAATGTGGAGTTAGACCGTTAAACAGTTTTTCACCATTGCTATTTTACGGATTTTTTGGGCGGGGCTAAAACAGGGCTTGATGACGCACTGGACCCCATGAGCTCCTGGACAAGCCCCTATTTGATGACGCATTTTGCTGATCTCATCTCTCCCCTAATAGACCTTTCTCACAACTTCCGTATTTGTGACCGGAAATACGCAATTGTTGTGGTAATCTTCTTCCGCTCCATTCATAACAGATAGCGCCGAAGGCAACTAGTGAGAGTTGTTGCGTACCGATCTTTTTGGTTATTCCCAAAAGCAGCCATACCTGTCGTTTTCATTCCTTCCCTCGTCAGTTCCCTGTCGATGAAGTTCGAAGGAACTGGATTCAGGCAGTCTGGCGGGATGTTATTGATCCTGTGATCTTCTGTAACGTTACTTCTCATGTCACCATTCACTAATAAGCCATCATTGTTTATTTTTTATGTTTTGTGTATTTTTGAAGTAACGTTAGTTCATGTTCAACTTTATTAAGATATTTGTATCCAGCGGAATAAGCACATTAAAAATATACACCACAATATAAAACAAGATAAGTAAGAACACACAACAGTGGGCTACATATACATTTAAAATATTAATATATACCATTCTGAGTATTTAACAATCTGAGTGTACAAGGGATAAATTAATATTTGTATAATTTTTCTTCATCTTTGATCGTTCTATAGCAACAGCAGTGCAAAAAATTCAGGATAACTGTTGAATAAAACTGACAGACTTCTTTCTGGTATTCACATCAAAATGCAGTTTATTGTAAATAATACTCCCTAAATATGAATAACTTTCCACACACTCCACCTTCTTACCTTTAATGAACGTATATTGGGAAGAATGAGCTTCAGTTCTGAAATCAATAGTCATGTCTTTGGTCTAGATCAGCTGCAGACAAGCATCACCACAGCATTTTACAAAGTCATCAACAACTGGACCATGACAAGTTTACATTTTTTCGAAGTTTTGAAGACTCTCTGATCAATTTTCTCCTCCCAGAGTAGGTTCTAATGTGTCGACAGTTGACGGGAACTCCCCAGATAGCAAACTGACATTGAATCAACGTGGAAACGACGTCTCTCATGACATTGAAACAACGTTGATTTTGCTCATCGAATTAACGTTGAACCAACGTCAGACGCGGCATTCTTCAAAGCTAAATGAAAATTGAAAATTGCTTTGCTTTCATAACGTTGAAACAACGCGTTGATTTCAAGTTGATTTTCCGTTAGTTTTGAAAGAATGACGCGTCTGACATTGGTTCAACGTTAATTCGATGAGCAAAACAATGTCAGATCAACGTTGTTTCGATGTCATGTTTCTACGTTGATTCAATGTCAGTTTGCTATCTGGGTTCGTTTCCACAACGATTACGTATTTCCGGTTTTTGTGAAAAAGGTCCATAACACTCCCCGAGCACATTTGCAATGCATTCGCCGCTCAATCGCGAGTGACTCAGTCCTATTAACGTTAGTTACTACAGCCTACAGTTTTCTAGCTAGCTATTTGAAACAGAAATGCATAGGCTAGTAGGGATGCGATCATGTACAAAACAGATCGGTAACTTCATTTAAATTCCCTAAAAACGATCACATCAAGAAGAGGTTTTTAGAGAGCCAACCTTGTTGATGAAGAGCTGAGGATCACCGCCAACACCCGCCTCTGTAGTGATCATTTTACACTGGATCGTTTTATAAACTTTCCTCAGAGACAACTGGGATTCACTGATTATTCACTGATGATCCGCTGTTACTGGTGAACGGGGCCGAAACGGCTATCTTCCGCCTCAGCATTCATCCTCCCGTCTCCAAAAACTAATCAGCTAATATCACCGTCGACAGCTTTCCCGTGAGTGGGTGTGGTTTCCACGCAGCCAGCGGACACGCCCCCAGCGTTTGAGAGCAGAGAATACTGCTCATTTTTTCAAGATTTTGATAGCTTATTTTATGTACTTCCCGGCTTTTTTTATCATTCAAATTTGGCTGGATGGCTAATAACACATTTTTCTGTGGTGTCATAAACTCAGAACACATACTTAATTTTGACTTTACAGGGACTTTAAGTGTAATCTGTAAAACTTAAAATATGTATGTGGTTGTTTTCATTCTTTTTTGTCATAAACCAACCATAATTATTAAAAAAATAAATAAATAAAAGGAATGTTCAAAACCAAGTACAGCTAAACTTGCCAGGATGACTATGTATTTTTTCCATTCAGGAGATTTTAAAGTTTTTCTTTCCATTTAAAATCACATTAACTTTAAAGGGTTTCTTAAAGGAGTAAAATGTTGCTTATTTTTTTAGTTTGGAAAAGCAAGTGTTCTCTCCTTTAATTTGTTGTGCTTTTATTCTCTTTTTCAGATGATCTCCCTAATGTGAACGGCTATGCATTGGCATCTGGAGCCAGTGACTTCCAGAGCTCAGAGGTTCCTTCAGAAGAAGAGGAGGTTCTGCACACGTGCAGTGGCTCAAAGCTTCTTCTGTTGGACTCCAAACTCCTCAACACAACCACTCTCAAACTCTCTCCATCATCCTCTCCAGATGTTTTCTCAAGTGCCCCATTCCCTGGATGTGGGTTAGACGGTCGGGACATCTTCAGCAGTGCTCCCTTTCCCCAAATTCAACAAGCCCATACGCAGGCTGACATCTTCCTCCAGGCGCCTTTTTGCAGGAAGAATGATCCACAGCATCTTACAAGATGCTCCAATGGCAACGAGCCAATCTTGCCCCATCCACCTGTGCACAGTCAAATCCGGTTTCCCTATTGCGCTGAGGCTCCGATGCCCCAGCAGCCCATTGCCGCCCATCGCGTGGTCTCCAGCGTGGGCCAGCAGGCTGCCGTGAGCTCCGTCCCTGTCGGACCCCTTCACTCCTGGACGGTAGGTGTTCGAGCAGTGATGGACCCCTTCCAGGCTGCCCCTTTCCAACCTCGAGGCCCATTGGGAAAGCCTTAATGTTTGAGAATGTTGCGAGCGCCCCTTCTTGTCGCCCCATTGCTGGTCGTATCTGTGGCAAATCTGGCGTAGTCTATCGTGAGACGACTACCTCGGCCCTTGTGATATGCCTCATCTGGTGTTTCCACAGCACTTTAGTTCCCCTTCACTCCGATGTTCCGCATTTGTGCATCGCGCCACCAGACATGTAGAGAGCGATTTCATCTTTTGATTATGATATAGAGGTCTATTACCCACATGTATTCATCCATTTATTTTTTGATGCTCTTTGTAATGGTTTACTCAAGCTTTTTTTTATCAAATGTAGTAAATTATTTCTTACTTCTACATTGAGTCCAGTATTAAAAGGACGGAAAATGTGAAAATTAAGGAAGTTTAAGGTGTGGTCACATTAGCGAAATGTAGGCAAAATTTTGGAGGCAAAAAAGTTCCTTTTCCGTATTCAATAGTAAAGCGATGGGTTACACTTTGTTAAGGTGACATAGTTACAATGTACTCACTTAAATAAGTAATGAGTAATATCAATTAACTACGGTTACATTTACTTACTATAGAGTTATGGTTTGGTTTAGGGTTAGTAACTTGTAATTATGCATAATTTACTGTTATTACTATAGAAGATTATGCCTGTTACAGTGTAATAATGCATTTAAGTACGGTGTAATAATAAATAACTACATGTACTTACTATACGGTTAGGGTTAGGATTATGGTGTGGTTAGGGTTAGTTGCATGTTAGTATGCACCATTTATAGTTAGTACTGCAGTAATAACGTGTTAAATAAGGTGTTACCCTATAGAATGTACATGCAGTAACATGTAACTATGTCACCTTAAAATAAAGTGTTAGCTAGCATGTATGAAACTGCTCGAATAGAAGTCACTTTTAAACCAAGAACTTCCTGGTGGTTGATGCTGCAAATTTGCGTGACCAACTTAAACAAAAGCTAAATCTGCATGGGGAACGTTTTCACCCTCAAGCAAAACTCCCAATCGCACACATTCATATTGAATTGAATGGAATTTGCATGCAAAATTTTGCAGTGCAATGTTAAATGTGACTGCGCCTTTGCTCTCTGTTTACTGGTATTTTTGTATAAGGGAGCAGCTGATGAGACTAGTGAAAGGTTTTAAGTATTACTAACTGCCCTTTTGAGTCTCAAAGCAGGTAGAATATCCAGAACCTTGTGACAGAATTGTGTTGAGGCCTTATGTACTGGAGGTAACATCGGCTGGAGAATAATGTTTATTTGCTGATATTGTGCTTTTCTTGAACCTAAGGTACTGTAGACGTTTCCAAGCAGGGCTGGAATGGACTGAAAGTAACTGACGGTCACATCCACACCATCTGGTGTGAACATTGAAGCACTTTTACAATTTGTAGTCGTGGATATACTAGGTTTGCTATATAACAATCTGCTGTATATTCACTGTATATTCCTTACATGATAAAGACTTTGTTAAAATGTCTTGTCTTTGACTCTTCCTTCATAACGTAATATTAATGCAATCACATGGCAGTTGCTTCAATGCATTTAGAGGTGTGGTCCTGGTGAAGACAATCTCCTGAACTCCAAACTGAATGTCAGAATGGGAAAGAAAGGTGATTTAAGCAATTTTGAGCGTGGCATGGTTGTTGCTCAGTTACTGGGATTTTCACTCACAACCATTTCTAGGGTTTACACGGAATGGTGTGAAAAGGGAAAAACATCCAGCAGTCCTGTGGGGGAAAATGTCAGAGGAGAATGGGCTGACTGATTCAAGCTGATAGAAGAGCAACTTTGACTGAAATAACCACTCTACAACTGAGCATTTGTGAAGCCACAACACGCACAACCTTGAGGCGGATGGGCTACAACAGCAGAAGACCCCACTGTGTACCACTCATCTCCACTACAAATTGGAAAAAGAGGCTACAATATGCAAGACCAAAATTGGACAGTTGAAGACTGGAAAAATGTTACCTGGTCTGATGAGTCTCGATTTCTGTCGAGATATTCAGATGGAGTCTGAATTTGACGTAAAACAGAATGAGAACATGGATCCATCATGCCTTGTTACCACTGTGCAGGCTGGTGGTGTAATGGTGTGGGGGATGTTTTCGTGGCACACTTTAGGCCCCTTAGTGCCAATTGGGCATCGTTTATATGCCATGGCCTACCTGTGCATTGTTTCTGACCACCATGTACCCATCTTCTGATGGGTACTTCTAGCACAGAGGTCTCAAACTTGCGGCCGGATGATATTTTGTGGCCCCCTACTTGACATTAAAGTTTAATGTAAGTGCGGCCCATCATTGCGTTTGCCGTGGGGTTTTTTTTTCTTTTCTTTTATTTACATATCCCTTGTGGACTACCATAGATAGTCTCGTGACAGCTTACGTTTGGTTTGTTGTCAATAGTTGTCGTAGACAACCACGAAGTACAAACATATACTGCGCCTGGAAAAAATTAGCGCGTCGCTTCAATTATGAGCACGCTTGATGCGCGCCTACATTTGAAACTAACTTGAGCGAGCAAAATATGTGAGCGCGATATGTGAAAAAGCCCAAGGTTAGCTACCACCACCAAATCAGGCGACAGCTACTGTTAGCTCGCGAGCGACGTGTTGGAGACCCCTGCTCTAAAACAATGTGAGAATAATCATTTTAAGCTTGTAATATGTGTTGTGTCTGAACGCGTTCAATGAACGATAGTTCATGAACTCGTTCATATTTTGGGGGGCGAACGTGAACTGAATGTAGCGTACTGTAGCCTATTATTGCCTGATGAACGTTACAGTGAACTCGTTCATTCTAGTGTCTGTGAACCGAGGAGCGAGGAGGCGTCGTAAGATCATTTAAAAGGGTTTTATGAGGTCGGTGAGGATGGGAAAATCTTACATGTCTGTGCAAACTTTGACCGTCGATAAAATTATTGTTATCTTGTATATGGGCTGTGGCAATAATAATAGCCTAATAATAAAAAAAAGCTCGCAGCAACATATGGAAAAAAAGAACTATGAACTAGTTCATTTTTGAAATATGAACTGAACTTAACGTTAATTCATTTTAAAATTTGTGAACTGAAGTTAGAACTAGTTCATGTAATGAACTTGGTCCAACTGGTTGATAAGAAGGTTTGCTTTGATAAGTGCACAGTCAGTAATTTGCCTGAGACACTATTCATGTGTAAAAAGAATTATTTGCATTTCAAAAGCAATAATTGATTTTTTTACGTATAATAAAAGGAAATGTGCCTTCCGAAAAAAAAAAACATTCAATATAATAGTGTTGTATAAAGAAAATAAAAGGCAAATATGACTATCACAAAGATGTTGTGTATAAGAAAAGACAAAGAAAGTTTGTAAAATTAACTTCTACTGTCAGAAGGACAGCTAATGAGGAACCAATCATGTACAGAAAGGAATGTTCAAATTCAGATGAACATTTCAGAAGAAACATTAATAATAAAGATTGAGAAGATTGGATCAGTTGTGCTCCATTTTTTGAATACTTAAATACATTTTTTTTTTTTTTGGAATACTTGATGCGGCCCGGCCTGACCCAGACTCGATCTCCAGCAGCCCCCAGTTAATTTGAGTTTGAGACCCCTGTTCTAGCAGGATAATGTACCATGGCACACAGCTTGAATCATTTCAAATTGGTTTCTTGAACATGACAATGAGTTCACTCTATTAAAATGGCCCCCACAGTCACCAGATCTCAACCCAATAGAGCATCTTTGGGATGTGGTGGAGGAAGCTTTGTGCCCTGGATGTGCAATCTCCACCTGAAATCTCAATCAACTGCAAGATGCTATCCTATCAATATGGGCCAACATTTCTAAAAAATGCTTTCAGCGCCTTGTTGAATCAATGCCACATAGAATTAAGGCAGTTCTGAAGGTGAAAGGGGGTCAAACACAGTATTAGTTTGGTTTTCCTAATAATTCAGGTGAGTGTATGTATGTATGTATATATATATATATTTTAAATGACTTGCAGATTTATAACTGTATTACCTCATTATGATTTATAACTGTATTACCTCACTATTATTTTTGTAGGATCTGAAATGTCTGCAGACTGGTGTGAGCACTGAGGATGAGGAGCCCAGAGCTGAAGCCTGGAAGTGGTCCTGGATGAGACCCTCTATCTCTCCATCTGCCCTTATGAGACCCTCCATCTCTCCATCTGACCTTATAAGACCCTCCATCACTCAATCCGTCCTAATTGCCTCAGATTGTGAAGCGCAGCGCAGCAACATGCTCTGGCACGAAGGCACAGTCACCTCTGGTGAATTCATCAGAATAAAGCCGCAGAATTGGAACCGCTGTGTTGAGACGGCAGTAGGATGTGGTGTTCAGCGCCTGTAAATACATGCTTGTAGTTTGAATAAAGCTTTGTTTCATGTGTTTTTGACTTGTATATGCATTTGTTTATTGTGATGGTTACTTTTATTTCTTTTACTAATTTAGTCATGTATCTTGTTGTCAGCATATAATATAATTATTTAATTAATGTAAGCATTAATTAATCGATTTACTGACAATTGAGATGTTTCACTGCATTTAGCAATATAAGTGTATTCATGCATAACTGTCATATGATAAAACAAATTACATTTTGCTTCTTTTATTAAATTATATTTTCTGTATATAAAAAAGTTATATAATTAATTATTGGTCAGCATTTAATATTCTTATTTTGTTTAAGTTTTGGGGTGGGCTAACAATGCAATTCATTCTGATGTAATAATCATTTTTAAGGAGTGATACTTAGTTCCCTTTCGTAGTCACTTCGAGTTACGTCAGAAGTGACGGAGATTGGGGGTTTCGCATAGAAAGCCAATCCTCTTCGAGTATTTAAAAACGAGCCAATGGCATGCAATGCCTTGGGGCTGCGGAATTTTGCATAGCGTACTCCGCCCTACTCCGTGAGTATAAAAGAAGGAAGTGAACGCAACCGCAGTATGTTTTCGCTTCGGAGCCAAGAGAACTCTTCACTCCTGAAAGCCATTCTCACTGTTCAAGACTCTTCGAGACGAGCGTCCTCTTCAGTGTTGGTGTGACGACGGCCTGCGATCTGAGCAGTGGTCTGCCAGACTTTGCGCTTCTCCCTGGTCGCCTCAGCGCTGAAAGAGTGAATTTCCTCCTCTCTTTAAGTGAAAGAGCTGCACGCGGCACGTCTTTTTAAAGACGACTCGCCCGTGTTCTTCTGGGTGCGTTCGTCTCATGTCATTCTCTGATGGTCGCGATCGCTGCTCTGTGTGTGCCTGGGCTTCAGCATGCAGAGCAGCGTTCGCGGACATGAGCATCTCTACACTGTGATCGAGACTCAATGATCTGATAGTGAGAGTCCCCGTGTCCGTTACTCGTTCTGCTTCTTAAAATAGAAGCTGTTCGACTCGCGGATAGGGTGATATGACGGTGA